CGTCTTCGGACTCGAGCCTGAAGGACTTAGTGTGACACAACATTGTAGCCGGTATGGTCATCGCGTCCAGCTCTCTGGACAGAACCGTCCTCATCCCTTCCTCTCCCCCCTCCCGCTCTCTAACCCCTTCTCTCCATTCTCGGCCCGACGCCAAGTACGCTTATTTGGCGACTTTTTCCAGCGCTGCAGTATTGCGGAGAGTTGTCCCTGGGTAGGAGGGGAAGAGGACCAAAGACCGAGGAAAGGACTTTGTGGAAGTCCATCTGGAGCCGCCATAGTTTCTCGTGGAAGAGACGCAGCAGGAGTTGGCTCGTTGACTTTGACTTCAGGGTGACGTACTTGTTGATGTCCACTACCTGCTACTCTCCAGCTGTGGCCGGCCTTGGTGTGGCGGGCTGGCTGTTCTGGACTGTGCAGGACCGTGGTGCAGAACTCTGTGCAGAGACCCTGGACTGCGGCACAGGCACCGTGCTCTCCTCAGCCTCAACAAGTGCGCCCCGAGTGTGGAGGGCTGGCGCTGACAGCGCGCCGAGGTGCGTGCCGTCGCTGCTGCAGGGCTGCATCCCCTCGGCGGTGGCGTTCGTGCTCCTGGCCCGCGGCCCGCCATCGACCTCCACCCCCGCCCCTCCGTCCACCGAGGATACCCTTTCACCCCTTACTCTCATTTATCCCCCCCCTCCTCCCCGACCTCGCCTCCTTCCTCTTCCCTATCTCGCTCTGACCGAGGAAAAGTTTCCGGCAGGCAGTGAATCTCCGAGAGTAAAGCGCGCGTAGGAACTCAACTGCCCTGCTGCCCCTTTTCTTCCCGTTTCTTCCTGGACCCACTGCAGAGCGAGGCTCCCTACTCCGGTCTGCCCGCTCACTCCCGCTACTGCGCTGAGGCTGTCGTGATCGAAGATTAAATTTCCTAAAGTGCTGCGCTGGGCGCCGCCGCGGTGCCGCAGGTGACGGGCTCAAGCTCGCCCCGCCTGGTCGGTCCTCGCATTCTTTATGGCAGGTCCAACGCGTACATCAACGTCCGTTGCCGACACTTTTATCGAATAACAAGCCGCCGCACCATTACTCTGCAATTCACAATTTCCCCAGCTGAATCTTGAGAGTAGAAATGAAAAAGGTAAAAGAAGTGTCAAGCCGGAGAGAAAACACGCCGGTATGCAAAATTGAGATGGCGCTTTACTTTCATTTTCTTGTTTCCTCCCATATTTAAGGAAACGAAAACGCTATGATGATGTTTTATACATGCGTGTTTCTTGACGCTGGTTTTCACTTTCTTTTATGTCTCGTTTCTCTCGTTGACGGTTGCGGTTATTCAACGGAATATGATATTCAGAAATAAAGTTGAAGATATGTTGAGGCTGTATTTTTGAATTTTGTGTTTAATGAAACTCTCTTGAATGCGCAGTGTCCCCATGGCAGGGCTGTGTGCAGGATCATCAGGGGTTGTGCTGAGGCGAAGGGTGGTCGGGAAGCCCCTTGTGGGTAGCAGAAGCCATCCCTACTCTGATGTGCGTCTAGGGACCGGTGGTGCTAACCAGCCCGATGTACTCCGCAAGGGTATCACGACGAGGTTCTGCTGTCCACCTTTACTTGAGAGGATGGCACTTGGCGGATTTAAACACCCAATCTAACGTTGTGCATGTGACTCCCTCCTCCAAAAAAAATGGCAACAATTTAGCATTTTAAAAATGCCAAAATTTGTCAATCTAAAATTACCAACAATTTCTGTC